GTCAACATTTAAGAAATGAATACTATTTACCTTATTTTACTAAATTTATGTTTCGGGAAGAATTTCATCATAACGGTCTTTTGAAGCATATCTTTAATTGAGTCCACAGTAAATAGTTTTGTTATAGCAACTTTTCCATATACACTTCAAAAATTAAATATAACTCTTTATATATGTTTATAAATGTTTCTAAATATAACTTGCTAACCGTAATGGAGTCTGTATTTCTATAGTTGGTAGATTGGGATCATACTTCACTAAGTTCCCAAAAATTTCAAGCTCAAAGTTCTCCACTAATTTTAGTATGTCCACATTATCGTTCAACCAAAAAAAACCAATTGTTTTATGTTTAATCTAATTACAAAACATATTGAGCAATATGATGGAGTAGATACAGTAAGTCAAATAAATGTTTATAAATCAATATTATGTATGATAGAATTATATCATGCTTTGAAATTATTAGCTTGTAAAAAATATATATCAAAAATGTTATTTTTTATCTATTTGAGGTCGACCTAATTATTATAAACTGAAAAAGGGTAGTACACTGCGACCTAAAAGACCTATTATACCCCTTAGTCGGATTAGAGTGTTTCTCCAAGTCAGATTTCTTAAATGAAAAGCGGTCTTGAATCCTAATCTATCGTGAAACACCCTCCTAGGTGTTTTTCCGCTTGTGCATTTGTGCCGGCCACTACCCAAACACAAGGTATGTAGTTTCTCTCTCTTCTCTACAGTATCTGCAGTTTGAGTTGGATTGAATTCCCAATTTCGTTAGGCGTTTCAATCTACAAATTTAATTATATCCGTATAGTTTATTATTAGTACTATTAGTAGAAGAGATAATGGAATATTGAAACCCTTAAGTGCTATTGTAATATTCCTGAAGAAAGATTCCTTTGCTTCAAAACTACAAACTCATTTAAAACTCCATATTCGATTAAAACAAGACCCGATGTAGGCACGGAACCCGTTTTTTCGTAATTGCACATTGTAAGCAGATAATATAGTCAGGTGCCAGTTATCTTTAGTCTCATATATGAACAGCGGTAGTTAACACGAGCACGTCCAGTTAAGAATACATTGATATATCTGAGTTCAAATATATTTAGACTGAGAATTTGGTTAGACTATTCATATAGTCTGCTTATAGTCTGAAATCTGGCACATGTCAGTAACATATACATATATTTTACATAACTATATATATAACAATTTTATTATTAAGAAGCAATTACTAGTGATAAACATAGTAGTCATTTACCTCGCAAACAATTAATGAGCTATGAGAATTTGCATTATGTAGAAGTTCCTCAGCGATGTAAAAATCTCCCAGCTCGGTTCTTATTTGTGGACAAAACATATCCATCATATCAATTATATCATCATTATCACCTGGTCTAAATAAGTTATAAATATAAAAAACAACTTAAATAATAACTATATATAATTATATACAATGCCCTTCTGTACGTAATATCACGTATGATGCTTTCACGTTCAATGACATGAATACATTGAACATTTTTACATATTGGATCAAAAACTATTGGATAATATATAGTTGAAAATGGTTCCAGCCAGTCATGATCTGGTATATCTGTATTCGATAAAACATATAATTTTATATTAATTATATTTTTATATTTACTAGTAAATACCGTTTGGACGTATATAGGTCATATCAGGCATTTGTAGTATTAGTATATAACGCAGTTTAAGTTCCCGCATAAAAATCTCTTCCAGTACATGCAATAACATTTCCGGTATATGTGATGGATTATATATAAATGAACTCAGAAATAAGGAATTAGTAGGTGATAATTCCAGACCAAGACTGTAATGATAAATTTCTGTTAATTGTGAAAAAAGCAAGAAAGGTAATGAATTAATATTGATGAATTGATGTAACTTGCCAAAAATTTGTAGTGATCCAGTCTTCCCAACATTCTTTTGGTAAAGCTGTAATGGGTGGATGATTTGAAAATTCTGCAAAGCCAACCGTGACAGCTGATTGCGCACTCTCAGTGACCAAAAAAAAATGTGTTGAACTCAAATTGAAGAAGTCTATTTTGTTGGAAATTTTACGTTTCGGATAGCCAATATGTCTAATGAACTTTACATTGGCGAATACATGTAACTTTTCAAAGTCTTTTCGTAAAGCGTTTCGTATGAAATAAGATCTAGTTCGTTTATATCCAGGCTTATCAGAAACAGCTTGCATTTTTGTATAATAATCTGATCACCTTTTAATAATACAAAACAAAAATAAAACTTTCTTGATTAGGGAAATTTAATTTTTTTTTTTTGATATTTAAACATAGAAAATATGATTAAATATTTTACACATACTGTTTTGAATGTGAACGATTTACTATTTTTGTTTTGTTATTAAGATTAGGTAAAAACCTTCTTATTTTTGTTTCCTTTAACTCCTATTGAAGCATGTAACCTTAACAAAATATCTATATCTCTTACGGTTTTAAGCTAACTGCTTGACTTTGCCCAAAGGTTTCCCGGTTATTTCAATTTCTTTTAAAAGCGTAAAGGGACTATAAGGTAAAAGTGGCGAACTCAAACTTTATGAAATATGTAAATCGTATAATCCTATTGTGATACAATAAGATCAGCTTTTCATATAAATGTTTTTATTCTCTATATACATAAATATTTTAAAAAATCAGATTCATTGAATCCAGATAAAGAACTTTTAAGCTTCTTCCATAAATATCTTAACTTAGTTGTCCCTATTCCCTTTGCCGTATTCGAGATATCAGAAAAGAGATTAAAGCAGTTTCGTTTTGATAAGGTTTTATGACATGTTTCTTCTTTATGGGTTAGTCGAACATTTTTCTGGAATATTGTTATTTATAGGGTGTGTCCGTTTCTATTGATTATTTCTGTACCATTTCACGGTACCTTTATTGTAAGAGTGATTTGCGGTTCTCTGTGCTATTGCATTTTTTGCTATAACAATTTGTGTAGATCGAATAATAATAATAATAATAATAATAATAATAATAATAATTTTGAATAAAAGGAAAGCCATTCGCCTAGAGTTTTTTGTAGTTATTTCTATATAAAATGTAGGTTATCGTTAATTCAGAATTATCTTTAAATACCCTTGCATTTTCTTCTGGTTTACAAATCAGCGGATTTAATTAGATGCAGTGGTAACTAAATAATTTTTTATTAGTCTTTCTCTTATTTCAAATTATTAAAAAAGTAAATGTCTGACAATTTTGATACAACTTAAATATTTCGCACGGAGTATCTGGACCTCATGTTTTAGTATCAAGCCATTCCTGTTTGAACGTAATGGAAGAATTTCACACCAGTAAACAAGCGGCGGTAATGTTGTTCAATATTTACTGGATTATTTCAACTCAAACAACATTAGAGAAGGACATGTAATGTAATACTAAAGTCAAAATAATTCTAAATAAAAACCAATTTTCTAAATAAAAGTGTAGGTTGTTACTAAAGAACGTATTCATTTTATAGATTTTATTTTGTATTTGTAATAGTTAATAGCATTTATGTTATTTCAATGATACTATATAGATATTCCATCAATTTCATAGCATTTGTTTTTAGCTGTCAAGCATTCCTTTTCTTGAGGTGTCTTGGATTTACCTACCCACCGATGATAGGGACAATCCTGCTTTCTGTGATAATCAGAAATACATATAAATACAAACATGAAAAACGGTTTGCAAGAATCTTTTAACATATATTTTGCTGCAGGATTCATTTTGATTAAACCATACGTTGTTATTGCTAAAAATATATCAATGTTTGTATTATTAATACTGCATATCAGTCAAGTGATTATCTTAATAATACCATCTTTTCGGCAGAACTCATACATGGCTATGTGATAATCTTTTTCTTTAGGACGATCTGCATATGTCTTCTCGGCATCAGATTTAACCATTTTCATATTTATATTATCGCCTTTTCCAAGATACTTCTTTTGCTTATATAGACATTCAACAAAACACTTAAAGGCAAGAAAATATTAAATATTAATACAATTATAAGATTTACACTATGTATCACTGTAGCTGAAGATAAACACAATAATACTACTTTTACAAAACCTGCTACTTATAAGTATTTATAAGTGATACTGATATCTATGATGGGGACTTACATACCGACAAGAACTTCATTAATTTTGCTGGATCATTTTCATTATCTTTCGGCATTTTACTCTGATGTAGTGCGAAGCATTTCATTAAACTTTGTTCATCACCTATGAAAAGTTCGTCACAGCAGCCGTTCCGCTAAATAGATGAAAATCCATTTCTTTAGTTTCACTGAGATTAACACAAATGCGTAAAGAGACTTACACTTTTCATACATTTTGTCTCATCAAGAGCACTGATACTAACATCATTAGCATTACTACTGCTGCTAGGTGTAACGCTTTCAACCTCCTCTTTCGGTTCAATCGGACCATTTGGTTCTTCAGGTAAATCTTCACTTGCAATCAGATTCTATATAATAGCAATAGTATATTTTTACAAAAGTTTTCTTATAAATATTATTTACCACGATACATAAGGAAATTCCTACTAATATTATATTACGGCAACCAGTGATCCAAATTTTCATTATTTTAAAATCCGTAAGGCGCTGTTGTCTGCATCGAACGTTGAATAACTAAATGAGTTTCCTCAAACTGCTACCAAATTTTATATAAATAGATTTATTATATCAAATCCGATATAGGTTATTTACTGTTATCTGAATATTTATCGGTAGAAATGAGCCGTTTTATATGCGGTCATCAGTGGCTGAATGGCACAATTAATTTTGAAATGCATTAAATAAATTTAGAATTTAAAATTAAATTACAAATATTAATTGCTTAAAGTTAGGCTTCATTTAACAATTTATTAACTAAATTATGTATATTAATTGATTAAGATAATAAATTTCATATAAAAGCAGCGTAAAAGCAAGATAACTTACTATTCACCAAACTAACTTCAACATGAAATTACATCAAGCATTTGCGTTTGTGACTTTGCTAGTTGTGGTGAGTTAAGAAACTTTTTTTAGAATTTCACCTCGTACTCAAATTGATAATTTTTATTTTATTTTATTAGCATATTTGCGGTTTAAAAATTGATTGCGATAATCCCGATGGTATTAATGAAGATCATATACATTACTGTTGCAAACATCCAGAAAAACCCAATAAAGTGCTAGAGGATTGTTCAAAAGAAACTGGCTTTAAGTGGCCCAATCCCAAGGAGGAGGCTTTCATTGATATAACACCTGATCGCGCTATCGCTGGCACTTGTTTTAGCAAATGTGTTTTTAATAAACTTAATTTCATGAAAGGTGAAGACTTTAACATGGAAGCTGTTAAAAAATATTACAGTGATAATCATAGCAACGATCCTGAATATGTTAAGGAAATGTTGAATGCCTTTGATCATTGCCATGGCAAATGTAAGAAATCGTTGTTAATACCTTATCTTATATCTAAATTTATTACCATTTACAGCGGAAGACAACGCAGCTAAATTCCTATCGAATCCTATGTTCAAAACTTTGTCCGACGATTTTTGTGAACCCAAGTCCAGTGTTATACTAGCTTGTGTTATACGCCAATTTTTCCATAATTGCCCAATTGAACGTTGGTCGAAGTCTCCGGAATGCGATCGTGTGTTGGAGTTTAGTAAAAGCTGCAAAGATGCTTTGATTTCTATGTAAAATTAACCAAAAACTATAAATTTTTCATTTTTATGTATACCAATTGCATTGGTCTGATTGAGTTGCATATAGAAACGTTTACTACAAAATAAATTTGAATTTACCGATTTCATGTATGATATATTAAGAAGCCAATAAATTACACCAATTTGAACTTTTAAAATTGATTTCAGTATATATAAGATCAATGTTCTTGGGTACAGTTAGAGCTACATGCTTAACAGTTCGATAATATTAGGCTTGTTCTAACAAGCTAGCTAGGCGTGTCACTGTACAGCGCCAATGGATCTTCTCTCTCTCTCTCTCTCTTTCTCTCTTAAATTTCTTACCTTTATTAAAAAAATAATAAAATATGATTATAATTTATTTATAAATTATATTATAAATTTTATATAATTATATATAATATAATTTGCTAATTATAATTTAAATATTGCACTCACATATAATAACCATAAAACTTCACGTATCCACTTCAATAGCAAAATAGTCCTCTTTTCGTTTGTTAACGAACAACAACAAAGCATATATAGTCTCATATGATTTTGTAACGAGTAATCAATATACTTCGTGTCACTAAACGATACGCTAACAACGCGTTCCACCAGCAAATTTTCGAGTAAATGAGAGCATCTGAGAGTGCCTAACATCCCTGTCGAAATTTGAAAATGCTACATAGACTTTGCTCGTACATTTTATTTCAAGTAAAATTTGTGTTAATGTGTGGATCAGCTGTTTTGGTTTGAATTTAAATTTTTGTATTTTTATTTGCGCGGCACTGGTGTTCTCATCAGACTTTACACAAAACTGTATCATGAAAATTTGTGTAAAGAGCGAAATTTAACACAATACTTATGTTACGTTCTCAGTTTATACTTTACTCGTGCTTTACTTGACTTTTACTACGAGTAGCTCGTGGAACAGACCTAATATACTTCACAAAGTATAATTTTCTACTGATTTGCTTAACAATATCTGAATGACGTGTTCATTCTTATTTTATAAATTTACTATACAATTATAATTCTTTTGGAAATCAATTATTCGTAATACCCTCATACTAACAATTATCCTCAGCATCCATATTCGTATACGTAAATGTATGCTTAAATATGATGTCTTTTTGTTTTCTATATCGCTTATACCCATGAATATTAGAATAGCATTTTAGCAGTTGTGTTTTAACGGCCTAACGCTGCAAGCCGTCTTTTATACATACTTGAGAAGTGGTTTTGGTATGTTAAAGTCTCACCCTAGGCTTTCGATGTTACTCAAATACCGAAAAAATATAATGTATAAAAAAACTAAGCAAACTACCAAAAATGAAACTACTTAAAAATTATTTTTAACATACAAAATTATAGCATAGTCATAATTTTATATATTTCTGTTGATTTAAAAAGCTGTCACTAATTTTCATCAATTTTTTTAGAAATAAAAAATATAACATCCCTGATACAAATGAAAAGTCTTCCGAACAAAACGTAAAAGCGCCAACAAGTATTTGAATGAAATTTATAAGAAATACAAAAGCAGTAAGTGTATTATTGCTCGTTCTTTAACAATATGTATAGATTAATATGTAATAGATTGCTTTTAAGAAGACAACACAAGAAAACAGTAAAAGTATTCGAAATGGAAGGTTCAAACAAACTATCCGAGGTGCAACAAAAGAAGGACAATCTTAGCAAGGATAGAGGTATTACTTATTTGATATTTTTGCATATTATATTTTAATATATTGCAATTATTTTATTATTTTGTTATAGATTTAAAACTGCAAAGAAAGATTTTATATGAGTTAGCATGTTATGTCCGAATTTCTTCCTCGAACATTAACGCCTTAAAAACATCAGATTTATTGAATGCAGATGCAAGCGAGCCACCAAAAAATCCAAATGAGGCGTTTGAGGCATTGGGTAACTCAAGAAAATGCTCTATGTCTGGTATTGAGAAGAAAGAAAACGTTGGAAATTTCGGTGTCAATGAGAAACTTAAAACCCTTTCTGATGTGAATCAAAAACTTAATACCAGGGAAGATTTGAGGGTTACGATAAACTCTAAAAAAGCTCCCGAATATAAGCGTCTCAAGAAAAACCACTACCTTCGTATATAATATGACTGTAATTTATTTAACTGAACTCCAAACTAACCGTTTAACATATCATTTTATAATTTTACCAACAACTTTTTTTGTTATACAGTTCTTAATTTTATTTTGTATTAAAGATTAATAGATTATTATTAAAAATTTTTATAACTAAAATTTATTGAATTTTATAATTAAAATGTATTTATTCTATATTTTATATACGATGACTGTTATTATAGGTTGGGTAGTAGTAGTATTATCATCAATGCTGAAGTACTCCTCCACGCTTCTCCATGATAAAACTATTCAAACTCAAATAATTATAATTTGCAGAACAAATCAAATTTAGTTTATGATTTAAGCCATAATTTTACTATGTCACAAAACAAGTATTCTTGATACATGAAATATATCAAAACGTTAATGTTGAGATATGAGATATATAATGAGATATATAAAAGGATTTCAGTCCGTTACAGCTATATCTACATTAATGCTCTGTTGACTAGAATTGGAGTGATATTATCTAATATAGTCGTAACCTTCAAAACATATAACAATAATAGAAAATAAAATTCGATAATTGACATTCCTTTTAATTTTATTAATAATAATATTATATTAGATTCACATGGAAATTAAGACATCCTTGCACTTTTTAGCAAATTCTAGAGTTTCTTCACATTCTTTAGTTTTTGCCCAGCGATCCTTTGGACAATTATGAAAGAAATTATATATAACACAAGATAGTACAACACTTGGCTTCGGATCACAAAATTTTACATTCTTTATACGAAAGAAAGGAAAGGACATTAGCTTAGCAGTTTCCTCCTCAGCTGAAATTTTACACAAAAGATTTGAATTAAAAATCAGGAAAATCATTAAACAAATCGGATATAGTTTATTTACATCTGCTGTGGCAATGATCAAATGCTGATATCATTTCACGCTCGTATTCTGGATCCATTTTATGTACTTCCTTGTAATGTTGTCTAACAGCGTTCATATCCAATTCATGGTTTTTAAAAAATTTGAACTTTTGAAAAACGCATTTTCCGAAACATGTACCAGCTACTAATTGTGCCACTGTGACATCCTCTAAAGCTTCTTCATCCTTTGAAGGTAGTTTAAATTTTGTTTCGTTTGCGCACATTTCAATAATGTCATTATGTCCATCAGGATGTTTGCAGCAATAATGTATGTGATCCTCTCGAATAGTCTCGGGATGGTTGCATCTTACTTTGATGGACACTGTAAGACCCTGTACAACAGAAAAAAGTAATAATTATTATTTTATGAATTTTTTTTTATATAAATATCATTATTTACCACAAAAAATATTATCAATACACAGATTGGTTTAAGTGTCCACATTTTGTAAAGTGAGATTAGCCTAAACTGAAAATCTTGTGATCCATTTCAGTGCGTTTTTAAACTAAAACTGAGGCTGTTGGTGCGGAAAATTTAATTAATCAAATTATTTATTTTAATTGCTCTTAAACTTTAAACGTTTCATTAAATTTGTGCAGAATTTTGGGTCAAAAATTAAAAATATTTTTAACTAATTTATCTAACAAATATATAGATGTGTTTGAAATATAAAATATCTTTCCGACGCTCTTCCGACAAGAGAAAATCAGTCTATATTTGTTAACATAACTGCTTTGTAATATGCAAGCTGGCAAAGTCTGAATGGCTAAACAATACTCTAGCGTCTCAGGGAGTAGGTGGCGGTAAAGACCGTCCACTAAGTTCCAGCTTATCAGCCAGACTCGTAAGGGTAAGTGCGACAATCTCTCAGGCTGATGGGAAGCTCTTGATATGGTCATGTCTCTGCCAAGGGTGGACTGCTGATTGTCGGGCTGGGAAGAGAAAACTTCCCGGGTACGTATTTATAGTAATATTTGTTTTGATATGTGTAGCTTTAAAATTTGTACGATACCTATAAAAACCCCCAAATCTGAGGTAGACTGTTACGCCGAGGATGCTTGACTGGAGGGGTGCATCCAGTCTTTTAGTAATGAACTCAGGATACCGGGCACTCTCCTGTTTTAATTAATGCCTTCTCAAAGTATGGGGCTCTGCTTTGGGTGACTGTTCTTTCCCTTATATTAAACACTGTATATGGATAATAAACTAAATATACCAATTAATAATATAATTACAGAGTCAGAGGAAGAAGCTCTACTCCGTTCGCCAACGAAGGTTGGAGGAAATCTTGAAAAGAGGCTTGAAGCATCTCTCAAGATTCAGGATCTGGATGATCTGAACCCATCTGCTCAGAGACCAATGGTATCAAGCGGTGGGAACACCTCTCTGGTGATTGACACCCAGAGTCCTATGGACACAGGTGACCACGATGGCGGTGCGT